ACCAAGACGACAGTAGAGATTAGCTACTTATGTTCTGTATATGCTGGAAGATGAGTGGATCTTGTTTCATTTCCTAGGGGATTAGACAGCAGCAGAGCAACTTCCTTTGCTTCTGAAAAAGTTAAACAGAAAAGAAGACACTTTCCCCCTCTTTCACTGTCCCCTGGCATACAAAGAGATGAAAGAAGGGACTGGTGGTGACTTTAGGAAATGGCTGGTTAGTAAACCTAGTCAAAATCTATGAATCTCTGCAAAATGTGGACTAAGAACAAAAAACCACACAGAAAGGCAGCAGTACAGATCAGAATTTCAGTACTTACACGTGATTTAGTATGTGTGTCAACTGTTTCATAGATACTCATATAAAATTCAGGATCAAACATATCTTGAATCATGCAGCGAAATTTTACTAAGCTATTGGGTTTCAAATAATGCAGAGGGACATCATTCAATGAAGGTACCTGCAGAAAATAAATTCAATGATTATCAGTCTTACATGAGACAAAAAACAAAGTTCCATGCTCTTCAACATAACCGTAAACCTAATAAAATCACAATTTAAAACAGGTTTCATTCACAGGGGATCAGTCCAAAAAAAATTGCTGGATCATTAAAAAAGGCAAATTACCTATCAATTTCTTGTTTTTTTAAAAAATCGGAGCAAATACAATTTTTAGGCCCACAACATATTTGTTTTCTTGTATTCCATCTATTGCAATGTTTAACTGCTAATCTCTAAATCATCAGGATTATTTATGTTAAGTGATAATCACATTTTATTTTATGTTCTTTGGGTTGAGGGTTTATTTCCCAAAGAACTCTGATGTTCATGCAAGTCATTCCAATAACAAACCTTTCTAAGATTAATACAGGAGTTTTACCCACTACTGACATCTAGGGCAATGAAATTACAGATTAGAAATAGCTGTCAGTGATATACTTATTCTCCTCCCATATGCATTTCTAGCTTTCTGTTTGCTTTTGCCTATTCCTATGATATGCTCTCATCCTGAACATACATAACATTTCTCCATAGGTAAATATACTCTTTAGCTATCCTGTAGAAGAAAGACTACTAAAGACATTTCTGATAGACTTACTACAACATAGAAAATATTATATGCACCATCATTAATCCACAGACCAATATTGCAACCCCTAACATTAGAAACTCACCAAGCTTACTGTACATATGAAGCCAACTGATATGTAACTGCACATACTTGATCAGAGGCTAGGACACAACTGCTGCCAATACAATTAAGTAAGAAGAGCACTATACTACCTCTGCATCAAGACTATGAAAACTCCCTGTTTGCATTTCTACACCCATTGAACTAAGAAAATCTGTATGCAGAGATGTAAAATTGCCATAAGTTTGGGGAAGAATGAAGTACAGGAAAGCAAGTATTGCATATTAAGCCTAAACATAATTTAGTGCATTATCATTATTATTATGAAAACTGGAAAGATACCCAATCCTTGAGAGATAATGTTGCAAACTCACATGCATCTTAGTTTCTGCCATGTGACAGGTAGGAAAAAGTTTCAATTAGAAAATAAATTGGTAGTAAACAAAAAGAAACTGTCTCATACAGTCATAACAGGACTAGCTGCATATCTGGATATCAAGTTAGTGAAAACATTAAACTCTTCCGTAATACATAATCAAACACATTATCGTATAGAACAAAGTTCGAATCCAGTGGCACATTTAAGACCAACAAAGTTTGGGTATAAGCTTTCATGTGCATACATTTCCACTACAGGAGCCTCCTTCAGATCAATCAATAGGTTCTGTAAACGCAAGAAGCCCCAAATGAAAATCTAGAATTTTTTCACCAAAGCAAAGCCAATCCTTGAGGAATCCTGACAAAAACATACTTACCCAGTTTGTTGCAATATTTTCTTTTAGCTTCTCTCTGAAATATTCAGTTACTTTTCCTTCCCATTCAGGATCTGGATTATTTTGAACTGGAAACCACCCAAACAAAACAGAATTATATGAGTACATTCTATACTCTGATATAACCACTTTACCTATCACATTTTTATTCCACCTTTCCTCAAAGATTGTCAGAAGGGCATACGTGCTTCTCTCTTCCACATTTTATCCTCACAACTACAAAGCATGTGTTTATATAGTTTGCGAAGAAAAATAGGAGGGAGCATGCAAACCTAATACACACTCATTATGAATCAGCTGAGCCTCTGGATTTCAGATAAGGCTTTGTTGTATGTTTCTAATGGTGTCCCGTCAAAAGATACCAAGAGATTTAACTCAGTTCAATCCATGTTTCTGTTTCTGATCTCCATCTACTGCATGCAGTGAAGGAAAACTGAAGCCTTGTTTGCGTTTAACACTTTTGCCATTTGAGGACTGTTCTCCTTTGGCATCAGGCTCAATTTCTGTAATTTACATATCAGTAATATTCTAAACAGATTCTAGTTTGTATGGAAGCAGAATGTATACGATTAAAATCTAGTCTAGAAAAATGTTAGTAAGAAAAAATGCCCAATGAAGAAATGGGATTCGGACTGTATGATGTCTTCAATGGAACAGGACTGGGACTCAATGTGTGCCTTTACCACAAGATATATTAAATTTCTGCCACTCCAACTACAATATCTGAAATTGATTAACCGATGGTATTTGGTATACGATTAAAATTTAAATTATTTAAAAAAAAGTAAGAAAAAATGCCAAATAAAATAGACTCAAATTTGTAACTTTTCAGCCACAATGTATTCCAATGTATAGCCTGGATAAAACAATTTCTGCAATAATCCAAGAAACCAGATGATCGTTTAGAAATACCTATAATTTATGTATATGAAGAGTCTAGCAAAATTTGTCCATTCAAAAATATTCCATCACTTCCAATTAGCTCCTGCACATGCAATTCTACATTTTTAGTTTGAAGTCTAGATGCACTCTGAGAAACTGGGGGGGGGGGAATCCCTTTTATGAAGCCTACCTTATGTTAAAAATATATTTTCAAACATAATATTGTTTGCATTCCTTGTTCCATTATCCTACTTTTTGTATTTTTCACTATCACAGGAATTTGGATTATTTTGTTCTCAAACAACTGATGTAGTAATTATCTTTCCACTCTAGTATTACTCAGCATCCGCTGCAGATTGCAACACTTCTATATACTATATTGTCAAACCAAACCAAAAAGGGGCAACTTGGTTGAGGGAAAAACAGTTGTTTCAATTGCTGAATTGTATGAAAACATCCTTACACAGTGGAATTGTTACTTTTCCCCTCTGTAATTGGATGCATAGCATGTACTCTCCATTTTTGGCTCACAGGTCTAACATTTAACCTGTCCCAACAACTTCTATCGCTACTTCTCTGGTATCATAACATTAATCCCATTCTGCTATGTATCCCATTCAGTCAAACTTTTGGTTTGCATTTAACAAGACTTTGCAGTGAGAGGAGAACAAGCATTGTGAAAGACCCACACCCATGGAAACCAGTAGCGGCATATCTCATTAGAGAACTTTTAACATCTTAAATTCAAAGTATGTATCCAGAATTAAGACTCTTGAGTTTGCATTTTTACTGAAATCCTACATGTCTCCATATAGTTAGTACCTGACACAGATCTAGTTTCTCTATATTGTAAGTTTCCAGACTTACTAGTCAGTATACACTCCTAGAGTTATATCCTGTCACAAAGAATAAAGATTTAAAAGGAAATACTACATGCATGGGACAAATATATTTTCAACTGATTTTTCCTTTCTATTTCATGACATACTTTTTTAGCCTCCAACTTGTCTTGCTAAATTAATACTGTCTACCTGAAATGATTACTTTGATTTTGCCAGTTAGTAGGAAAGTTTAAATATATATGGGCAGAAAAATGTTCCAGTTGTAGGTACAAAAGAGGTTTACCCCAGCACTTGAAACCTGTACAGACAGAGACAAACATAAGCCAGAAGTGATGAACTGTCTGCCGGTGCCTACCTAGACACAGACACCCCCCCCCCCCACTCTTCTATCATGCCCTCGCATAATGCTTACCTCCTAGCAATTAACTTATAAATGTAGTCATACTGGCGCAGGCGACTATCTGGAAGACACAACCTCTGACTGGAAGGCCTATTTTTTTCCCACCAGAGGGTGGGAGTAAAGAGAAGGCAGTCTGCACATCCTCAGAGAGACTCTCTTCTCACTACCACTCAGCTTCCTGGGTTGGGAGCCCCTGAATTTAGAAAAAGGATCCCACAGAAACTCTGAATTTAACCCCGGTCCCACCATTCTCCTCCCCGCTCCCAAGACCCGGGCGGGTGGTGCTTTCCTCTGTTTTGAAGAGGCCATGAGCGCAAATTAGCGCCTGGCAAAAGTTCTGCTTCACCCAGTCCCGCCCTTGTCTCTCCCCCGCCTTAAACCCTTTCAACGCACGCAACGCGCATACTTCGCCGACTTCTTCCTCCTTCCTTTTAATGGCCCCAGCCCAACTCTTAGCTCTCCTTCTTTCCCCCCCTATCCACTCCTTCCCCTCACAACCTTTAACTTATCGGGCTTTCTCCGGCCTCCCCCTCCCCTCGGTAGTGCTAGCATGCCATCGTTCCTTGTCCGCCCGCCCTGCCTGCCTGCCTGCCTGCCCTGTGTGCTGATTTTTATTACCCCCCTCACCGAAGATGCCCTGCACGATACTAAGAGGGCAGTTCAGCCAGTCGGCCACACACGGCATCCTTCGGTTCGTCTAAGGCTCCAGGTCAGGGCACTCAAGGTGTGGAAAGCTCGGCTCCCAAGCGTCACACCGCTAGGCAATGGAGCAGGCCGCGAAGCGGACTGCTGGAGAAGATCGCGCCGGTGCGGCCAGGCCGAGCCGAGTTCTGTCCTCCCTTCACCTCACTTCTCTCCTCCTCAGCGCGGGCTCGGGCTGGCGGGAAAGGGGGGAGGAGGGCGTGGGCTCCAACCGCGCCATCTTGGAACAGGGCAGGATTGCGGGCGGAACAGGAAAGGTCGGTGCTGACTGGGAGGCCAGCAGGGAGACGTGGACGCGCCGCAGTGATGGCTGCCCCGAAGGCCTCCGTGGCTAGCGGTGCGTCGTCGGGCGCCAGTGGCACCAACTTGCTCTTCTCTTCCTCGGCTACGGAGTTTAATTTCACTGTCCCCTTCATCCCAGTGAGCCAAGCCCCTGCGCCGCCGCCGCCTCCTCCTCCCTCTGCCGCCTCGGGGCCTGGTCTCCTGCCCGCCGGTAAGAAAAAAGGAGCTTGGAAGGGAAGAGGGTTTAATGGCTAGAGGGAGAAATACTGCCTGAATTTTTAAAGGTCTGTAGTCTGCCGTATCTAAAGGACTGGTAACAGGTAGGGATGCCTACCCGCGAATAGATGGGTAAGCCTCCCCCCCCCTCTCCCGTTTCCCCTTCTGGACCAAAATCTAATTGACAGGTCCGGGGGCGAAGAGGATTCGAAAGGCTGCTTTGAGAGAGAGGCTTAAGGAAGAAAGTGCTGCAGTGGGAAGACATGAAGGCAACTGAGCGGATTAGAAGGGGATTCCGGAGTGGGAAGGTGTCGGGACTCCACCGCAAGATGTACCTTCAGTGCTAGGTCTTAACCCTGGAACCATAAATATTTATTTATTTAGGCATTTTTACCCCGCCCTCCCCGCAAGCGGGCTCAGGGCGGCTTACAAGGGGCATAAGCCCATCCATAAAACCAGATAAAACAGTAAAATCGTAAATAATAACAATAATAAAGTGCTTCCTATAAACGAGATGGTCTTAAGTGGTTCTGGTTCTGATGGCATCTTCGATCCTCCCCGTTAGGGTATCACTGTCCAGTAGATGGTTCAGTTCCACCAGGTGGGGGCCACCACTGAGAAGGATCTGTCCCTGGTCGCAGCAAGCTTTACCTCCCGGGGGCCTGGGATTCCCAGGCGATGTTGGGTCCCCAACCGAAGTACTCTTGGGGGTATATGTGGGGAAAGGCGGTCCCTCAGGTAGGTCGGACCCTGGCCATGTAGGGCTTTAAAGGTAAGTACCAGCACTTTGAAGCGGATTCAGTATGCTATTGGCAGCCAGTGCAGCGCCTTCAGCCCAGGCCGGATGTGCTCCCTCTTGGGGAGACCCATCAACAGCCTGGCCGCCGCATTCTGCACTAGCTGCAGCTTCCGAATCTGCGACAAAGGCAGCCCCATGTAGAGAACGTTACAGTAGTCTAACCTTGAGGTGACTGTCGCATGGATCACTGTAGCCAGGTCGTCACGGTCGAGGAAGGGGGCCAACTGCCGAACCTGCCTCAGATGATAAAAAGCAGATCTGGCAGTGGCTGCTACCTGGGCCTCCATAGTTAAGGAGGGATCCAGGAGCACTCCCAAACTCCTAACCCCCGACGCTGGCACCAAAGGCCCCCCATCGAGGGTCGGGAGCGGGATCCCCAACCCCGAATCGTTCCGGTTCAGGCACAGGACCTCCGTCTTTGCTGGGTTTAATTTCAACCGGCTCAGCCTGAGCCACCCAGCCACGGCCTGTAATCCCCGGTTCAGATCTTCTGGGTCGGAGCCCGACCGGCCACCCAACATCAGATAGAGCTGGGTGTCATCTGCATACTGATGACAACCCAGCCCATACCTCCTGGCAATCTGGGCGAGGGGGCGCATGTAGATGTGAAACAACATCGGGGAAAGCACTGCCCCCTGAGGCACACCACATTCCAGTTCCCCTATAAAGCATATGGAAATTCCCTTTATCAGAATACCAGTGGTGTTTTTTATTAAGATCGCAGAAGTGATTTCCAGAGTGGAGTAGTGGACAGAACAGAGGTTTCAAACTCATTTGTAACGAGGGCCAGATCCTGCATAAATGTCACTTTGTCGGCTGGGCCATGTGTGCTATAAAAATGTAATGCCGGGTACTGGAGAGTTAAACTTTATAGAGGCCACAGGCAAACCCAATTAACAATATTTTTTTTTACTCAAAATACAAACATGCTTAAAACATTAACATGCTTACAGTATTTCCTCAAAATATCTACCTGATACCCACCCTCCTACTTCCACTGCCCCTTACTCATTAGCACTGGGACAGTATACAGGGACATAATGCACAGCTTCTAAAAACTGGCAATAAAGGTAATCAGTTGCTCGCAGGCCAGATAACAGCATTGGATGGGCTGGGTGTGGGCCGTATGTTTGACACCTCTAAGCTAGAGTGCTGGACTAGAATTCAGGAGATTTAGGTTCGAATCCACTCTGCTGTGGAAGTTTGTTGTGTGACTAGACCACTCGCACACTCTCAGCATAATCTACTTTATAGGGTTCTTGTGAGGATCAAATGGAGGAGAGGTGACCGTTGTTGACTACTTTGGGCCCCCACTGGGGAGGAATATGGAGTATAAATGAAATAAGTAAAAGTTGAAGTGAGGATCTTCCAATTCAGTCTGGTGCTCCATTTCATACCTTGCTGTTACTTTTTATGCTAAGCATTGGAAGGCCTATGAGTGTGTATGCTGGTATCTGTGAAGTAAAGGAAAGATCGTTAAGAGTTTTTAGAGAAACAGGACATGGGAAATCACTTCTGGGAATGCTGATGTTGTGAAAACTGTTGTTTCTAGATGAGAGAGAATGTCACTATTTTGTAGAACCAGCTGGGTTGGCTGTTGGTTTATAGCAAGGCATTTTTGGGGAAACATTTTTGGTTTGATGGGGGCATATTTGGGAATTTCTGTCATGCACTAGATACATACTTCAATCACTCTGCTGTACTTAATGTCAGGATTATTTTTAAGAAAGGGGTTTGTTCCCTGATTTCTTCAGCCCATGTTGATGTGAGTTCTTATTTTTGGAGAACCTGAATTGCATACAGCAGGTCCCAAATTACATCGCTGCTATCTTCTGTTTAAGAACATTAACAGTTCCCGGACTCAATAGACAGGTTGGTCTCATTCTGTATAAGATGGAAGCTTTTTTAGGGTTTCCATGAAAGTCTTATATGTTTGTGCAAGTGCAGAGAGTCAGCCTGATGGTGACCACTGTTTGGCACTGTAATATGAAGTAGTGGGATTATTTTTGTTGATGTCTTTAATCCCTAAATGCAGTTGTAGATTATGTGTGAGAGCAGGTTAGATCAAGCACCTTGATTTCATTTTTAAAAATTTTGATTAAAAAAAATCTTGTGTTTTGAGATTGGGTTGAGGTTTTTTTGTCATTGTGATTATGCATTCCAACTCCCCCTTCCCCAGAGGACTGCACTTTTGTGCAAGAACAGGAGTAATTTGGCATCTTAAAAATAAAGACCGGGTTCTCATGTTATATTGGTGTAGGAACCACAGCAGCTCCTTCATGCATTTGTTGTGTACATGAGGATCCCAGGATCATATGGGATAAACTCTGCTGTGGTTTTGGGACACTGGCATTGGCAGGAGCTGCAGCATGGGCTCTTCCCCTGTGATCCTGGACTTTTCATATTACCCAGTGGTGAGTGAAGAAGTGGCACTCTAGGGGCTTCTATACCACCAAGATAACGTAAGAACCAGCCCAATAAATTTATTGTGGCATAACCTTCTCAAGGCTAGATTCCACTTAGTCAGATGCATGTGGAAACTGGTTTTATGTTAATTCCAGTACTTCTTCCTTGGTAGGAAAAAGCACAATACAGGCTGTGATCACACACACTAAATAATCCACTTTTAATGCACTTTCAGTGCACTTTCCAACTGGATTTTACTGTGTGAACTGGCAAAATCTCGGTGGAAAATGCATTGAAAGTCGAATATTTATTATGTGTGCGGCCATTGTTACTTTTTCCTCCCCCCAGCTTCAGGTATACTTACACCGGTAGTTGCTGAACTAGTGTTTTAGAGGGGAAACATGTCTGGTTTTGGAAGAACAGACTTAGAATCTAAAGCACACAAGTAACACACTTTAATCACTGGGTTATAAGTGTGTGAGTGCTTTGATCTCCAGAGGCAGATGTTAATCAGGGTAAATGGATCCAGAAGCACAAAGTGCGATTGGGCACATGTATTCAAGGATCTCCAGTGTTTCTGCACAGTGACTTTTAAAACCCCCCCCCCCAGGCATTGTATGCAGGACTAATCCGTTCTTAAGCTTTGTGCTGCTGCTCATGTCTAAAAACGAGGGATACATTCAGCTAATTGTAAGGTGTGCTTTCACTTAGTTGACTGTGCTCATTGCTTTAGAATGGAAGATTTTCCATGCATGGCTTTAAGAATTACCTTTATAGATATACCCAGCTCTACTTCTCAACCCTTGAATTTTCTTCTTACATTTAAACTCCAGTCTCTAGTTGCCTGTCATGATATTTCATCATCTCAAGCTTAATACGCCCAAGACTGAATTTCGCCAGAGGTCATTTCGGGGGGGGGATCGCAGTCCCCCCGGGTGAGGTACGGGGGGGCGGGGCACATGACGAAGCCCCGCCCCCTGCTTCCGGCCGCCCTGCTTCCGGCCCTCATTCAGCCAGGAGGAGGCAGGAGAAGAGGGAAGGTAAGTTGCTTCCTCCCTGCCTCTCCCCTCCCCTGCCTGCCTGGGGCCAGGGAGGGCCTTGGTGGGGCTTCCTTGCACTCCCGCCGGCCTTGCAGGTCCACCGCCGGGCCCCTCATGGGGCTCTGCAGTGGAGCTGCGAAGGCTGGCGGCAGCGACCAGGACTGTTGGGGGCGGGGTGTGTGGCCTTATGACACACTTCCGGTGATGTCAGGGGGTGTGGCCTTATGACACACTTCCGGTGATGTCAGGGGGTGTGGCATATGCTAATGAGTTATGCTAATGAGTTCCCCTAGCTCTTTTTCTACGAAACGACCCCTGAATTTCGCCATCTTTCCTCCCAAGCCTCTTTGTGTCTCCCTAAACAGCATTACCATCCATTCTGTAAAATAGCGGTGGTTATATCTCTCTTTTGCCCCACTCAATCTGTCACCAAATCTTATCACTACTGCCTTTAAAACACTGCAAAAATATGGCTGTTTCTTCCAGCTCCCTGCCCAAATTTCTGGTTCATGCTCTGTTCATGTCTTACTTTGACTACTGCAACCTCCTTTTCTCTGAACTTCTGTTTTTTGCATCTCAGCCCATTCACTCTATCTGGTGTAAGACCAAGAGCAGCCCTGAGTCGGGAGCCATGTTTTGGGGTTGCCTTCATGACTTCCTATGCTGTCTTGAGATTGTGGGAGGGAATCCGTGTTTGATAATAAAAATGAAAAATTGAGACTGGGCTGCAGGCCACAGAAAATCTGACTTGCAGGGAAGTCAGCAGATTCCCCGTGGGGGAGGAGGGTCTGAAAACTCCCTTGATAATAGTTCTATTCTTTGGCTACTGAAGACTCATCAAAATTCAGGCCATGTTTTTTGGACCATAATTGTCTTTCTAGGACCATCCAGGAAACTGCCTTACAATGCAGAGTCCCCTGGAAACCCAATCACAAGTGAGCCCAGGGCCATAAGCCATCCTCTAGCCAGGTGCTTTGTTAATCAGGCTTGCTGCTCAGGTAATTCAGTCACAGAATCAGGGAGGCCATCAAACCACTACCCAGCCTTTGCCCAACAGGCTTTAGCTGACCTAATCTGAATCCAAGCCAGCTTCCCCAGCCTTATGGTTGGTTCCCTTTTTGCCCCCCCCCCCCCCTTGACTGAAATCACTGAGCTTTCCCCTCCTTTAAAGCCTGGAACTTAATCCTCAGACCTGGTTTTTATCACCCATTCTTGGACTCACAGTCATCTCTTTGGTTAAAAGATCCCTCTTTTCCATTCCCTGCACAAACACACAAGCTAATTCCTCGTGTTTGTCTAAATGTACGTTCATGTGTTTGCAGGGTATGGTA